TGCTGCAATTTCTACTCCTCTCTTCTGCGATATCTGTGAATGTTACATATCACCGACAGGAGGTTCAACAGCCAAGCTGTCAGGTGACAGCACAAGAAACGGCGAACCAAATGAGGATCGTGGGGCTGATATGCTGAGAGGTGTCGGATCTGATGGAAGTGCAGCGTTTATTGAACATCTTTTTACCGAGCAACACATGGCTAGGCTGATGCGGCAATGCAATGAGGAAGTGAAAAATTCAGCTGCTGTTGCCGATCTTACAGCAGATCTAGGATCTAATGTCACGGCTTTCGGATTTGCCTCAGACATTTCACTTGTGAGCACACCTAGAACTAGCATGTCCTCTCCTTAAACAAATGCTTGCATGTTCCACGAATGATGCGACGAATATCACTTTCTCCCCATGTGGTAATGATTTTGCTTCGCCTAAACAAAGCTAATGCAATAGCTCGATGCAACTTAATGATGCACCCTTTAGCTGAAGTCCTTACTACCACATGAGTTTCACCTTTACTTGTACTATAATCTATGCAGTTGAAATCCCTATTCTCTTGCCTGCTACCTGTCAAGTATTGAAGACACTGCAGGTCTTATCATTGTTCCTTTATCAGCCTTTCCTCTAAATCTGTATCCATATGCATACGCATTCGAAATACTATTTCCATCATCACGCCACACAGTTATGCGATTCTTTTCACTCTATTCTCTGAGACCTAAGGCATGCTTATATGGCCTTTTGCTGTGCCAATGAGAAATCAGGATGCATATAACCCTTATGAGCTTTGGAAAAAGTATGATAAGGCATTTTGGATTTACAAAAACGTTTATGATTGGCGAGCAAAATTTGTACACAACCAATTATATCATTAACAACTTTCATTACCGTTGTTTATTTATATTGGAATAACTGATAGCAGAATTATGAATTTGCGCCGCTTTTCGCTGCATTTTAATAAGAAATTAGCAGCTAAAGAGCTCATCAGCCTCTATCGCGGTAGTTTATTTAGTGTTACAATAGTCTTGAGCAGACTCGAAAAGCTGTAGGCTAATTAATATGTAATACACTTATTTTTTATTCCTGATTACATGCGTAAGTTATGATGTACGCACTAAAACTAGTCACTGATAAATTCATCTATTACGGAAGTATGCCAAAAATAAAGATAAAAAAATAAGCGTAAATAAAAGGAATTGGCCAAAACCTGGAAACTCTTGGGTGGATTTATTTTTATCACTGATTATTAAATGACTGAGTGATCCATTTCTATCTATAATCGATGTTATAAAATGTGAAGGTGGCTAAGCAAGTCAAGAATGAGCGCTACAAGTTCTATAAAAATTTATTACAGACATTTTCGTTTTTTCTCCTCATAAAGCTATTTTAGAATTAATTCTTAATAAAAAAATGGTTAGTATAAATTTAAAAGAAGATGATTATACAATATTAAAAAGTGATTATTGTATTGCGACACAAAGGGAAGC